AATTTCAAAGAATTAATTAAAAAAGTAACTATACAGAATTTTTTTTTTTTTTAGACATTTTTATGTTTTATACATTCTTTTTATAGATACAAATTTGTATCTATAAAAAGAATGTATAAAGCATAAAAATGTTTTAAAATAATTGTCGGACTTTTTCATATTTATATATATATATATATATATATATATATATATATATATATATATATATATATATATATATATGAATATTTGAGCAGGAAACTTTTAATCTTTCATTAAATAAGTCAGCCAAGGAAGATTTAACTAATTTTTATTAAGTATTTCCAACTCCCTTAATTTTATTTTCCGTTTTGTAGGCGTAAGTGATTACTGATATTGTAAATAATTTTAATTTTCCCAAACGCTTTCGACGTCTTCTTTAGCCATTATCAAGAGGATTTTGTTTTTGGTTTTGTTAGATTTTCTTCGTGTTTTCACTGTTGTATTTTATTTTGCTGTTGTTTCGATTAGGAGCGTTTATTTCCTGCCTTCGCGTGTTGAGCGCGACTGGAATTCACGTGAATATCTTTCTATTTACAAAAAAAACAAGAAAACTTTTAGAACTCCATTTCCACTGTTAAATAAGGTGAGGTTGACAGTAGGGGAGAGAGATTTTTAATATGCACAGCGTCTCTAATAGAGAGTTGTTTCCGGTAATGTGATTTATAGAATTCGCCCTTGCATGGAGTATTGCTGCTATATATGGTCTGGAGCCCCTTCTGTTTGCCTCGGGGTTCTTCATAGGCTCCAGAGGCGGATATGCAATATAATTGGCCCTGCTCTGGCATCTCGTCTACAGTCACTTTCTCACAGACGCGCCGTCGCCTCTCTCAGTCTGTTTTACAAATACTTTCATGGCAATTGCTCCGAGGAGCTACATTCGTTGGTTCCCGGACTTCATGAGTTCAAGCGCTCGACGAGGCTGGCATCCCGCTCTCACCCCTTCACTGTCGAAACTCCTAAATGTAGCCGTCTCTTCTACTCCAATAGCTTCATGTCTTGCACCTCTCTTCTGTGGAACTCCCTTCCCTATTCCAGTTTCCCTGAGAGCTATAATTTCCAGCTATTCAAATGTAATGTCAATCGACATCTCCAGTTGCCTTGATCTATCCACTACCCTTCTCCTCATCATTTCTTCTATCACTCCTATCTGATCTTGTTCTAAATTTTCTGTAACCCCTTGCGTCCTAGTGGCTTCCCGCCTTGCTTGGGGTGAAACGCTTAAAAAAATATATATAAAAATATATATATATATATATATGTAGAATTTTTGTGTTTTCGTCCAGAATAATTGATGCTGGTGCTAATAAAATAGTCTTCGATGTATAATAACACAGCTATAATTTATATTAGTAATACATATACAGTCTTCCTCAACAGTAGCACAACTCTGGGATTTATGCACAACGCAATCGTCAGGTGCTGATGGAAAACTGACCGTTGCATAATTTAAATATTAATATTTATACTGATTGGGGATCCTGTTTATCCGCAAATGATCCGACCATGGGACTTACATTGTATCAGTAGCACCCTTCAAGATGTGAGAGTTATCATGACTCTCCACAATGTAATATCCGTTGTAGTTCGAAGCAATGTTTGTTCTCTTACTGACCATCCCAACACAATCTCGTTCGGTATGTTGTTCATTGTTTTTCCTCTGCCACTCCTACCTTCAGTATGTTCTGTATCAAATTCTGGTCCGTTAACACCATTTCTATAGAAATGGTATAATAAGTAGACGTTTTAATGCCTGCAATACGACTGAAGCATCCCAATACGATCACCAAATTTGAGCAACGTCGAGCCTGGTCGGTACCGAGATTGGTGACCGCTTGGGAATAATCAGCTGCTTGAATGTGCAGGTGGTGTAATGGATAATGGCTCGGAATTGTTAATCGGAGAGCCGAGTTCCAATTCCTGTGGGGTTCTTTATATTCACTTACAAGCATGAAAAAAATGTATGCATCTATTGCTTCTCCCCCAGCAATGGGCTAATTATTAAGACTTGTAGCCCGAAAACATTATTATCTAAAAATAACAATTAATGCAATCTAAAACTATTTTCTGACTTTAAATAACATTCGCCAAGTAGTACTGGCTGACATTTTATCAGTAGCACCCTTCAAGATGTGAGAATGATCATGGCTCTCCACAATATCCGTTGAAGTTCGAAGCAATTTTTGTTCTCTAACGGACCATCCCAGTATTTGTTCTACCAACCTTTTATACATGCTCGTTCGATATGTTTCTTGTTTTTCCTCTGCCACTCCTGCGTTCAGTATGTTCTGTGAGTATCAAATTCTCCAAACCGCCTTTCTTCATTATGAGTCACGGATACTTTAACTGTCTTTTTTTTTATTCTAATTATAAAGGTTCTTTTTTGTTTCCATTTTCCGTAAAACTTCTTCGTTGCTCACATAGCCCGTATATATTATGCTCAGCACCCGGCTGTAAAACTAAATATCTGTTCGCTCGTCTCATCTGTGAACAAACTGTTCAGCATTGACTGACATATTTGAGGATTTATATTATACAGCAATTCAACGTTCTATTCTATGGTTCTAATGAAATTGTTTATGTTTCTTAAGAGTTTCTTTAGCTTTGGTCGCTAAGTAAATATCAGTCCCCTCGTTATTGTGGAATAGTTAATAAAATAAACGCAGAATAAAGATCTTTACTTAGGCAGTAAGTTTCACTTTCAACTGGACGCTCTTTGCAGCGTACGAATGAGTTGTACTAAACTAAGCTTCAGATTTAGGAACCAAAATCGGGGCTGCTGCCTATCCGTTCTGGGTATGACGATAAACTACATCCGCATCCTGGGTATGACGATAAACTACATCCGCGTCCTAGGTAAGGCGATAAACTACATCTGCGTCGTGGGTATGACGATAAACTACATCCGCGTCCTGGGTAAGACGATAAACTACGTCCAACAGCAAGGCCTCTGATCAGGAGGTTTTGAGGAGCGTGGAACCACTTCTTAATTGCAAGTGTTCCCTGGCATGGGGTGGTAGCACTTGTTAGGGTCCCAGGTATGGGTAAATAGTTAACCCCCAAACATGTGTCAAAACACTATGAAAATATAAAAATAGGCTTTAATCCTAGAAATATTTTGTAAAAATATTATTACCAACAATATATTTTCGAAAATAAATTAACTGCAATACATTTTTTAAAAAAATATAATCAACAATAAAAATCTTGTCGGCATTAAATAATCCATTTGGGAGTTAAGTAAATACCATTAAATAATCCATTGAGGTTGATATGCTGTAAAACAAACCAAACCAAACTATACATTTTTGGAAAAAAAAATACTAGATATACATTTTTTTTAAAAAAAAAAAAAAAAAAAAAAAAAAAGAAAGAACTATTACCAGCTATACATTTTTTGGAGAAAATATTACCAGCGATATATTTCTGAGGGAAAGAAATTACCAGCAATAAAAACTGTCGGTATTAAATAACCCATTGTGGTTGATATGGTGTAAAACAAACGAAAACAAACCAAACCAGCTTCTGCCTAGTGACTGGATGCCTGGCCTGTTAACACCATTTCTATACAAATGGTATAATGAGAAGGCGTCTTAATGCCTGCAAAACGACTGAAGCATCCCAATACGATCACCAAAGTTGAGCAACGTCAACACTGGTCGGTACCTAGATGGGTGACCGCTTGAATCTAATGGGTAATGGCTCGGAATCGTTAATCGGAGAGTTGAGTTCTAATTCCTGTGGGGTTCGTTATATTCACTTACGTGCATATACCTGTAAATGTATGCATCTATCGCTTCCCCACTAACTATGGGTTAATTAGTAAGACTTGTAGCTCGAAAACATTATCATCTAAAAATAACAATTAATGCCATCTAAAACTATTTTCTGGCTTTAAATAACCTGTAAATGTCTGATAAGCCATAGAAACCGAATCAATGTTTTATACATTGCCGTGTACATGTACGTTGTACATTGATTTTGGGTAGGTGAGATTTATTTCACTACATGTCAAGGCATGTTGAGTTATATAATGTTGAATGTTCTAAGGGGTACCCAATGAGGATCATTTTCAAGATTCAGTATTAGTAGTCCACCAGGATAGCTTCGATAACCACTACTTCATGACTAGGTGCGATTAAATTGTCTATCACATTAGTTTGTGTTATTAGCTTTAGTATATGGTTATTGTCTTGAGTATGCATTATATTGCCTCATGTATTTTTAATGTCCTTTATATATGCTTTTATGGTTCTCTTTTTGTAGGCATCATATTGTACTAGCTGTCGTATTTGTTATATTTTCTTTTACACATTTAGTGAACGAGATTTACTCATTTTTATTTTATTTTCTGTTTCATTTTTTTTCTTCAACAAACCCATTGAAAGAACTTAAATCAAAGAAAAGCGCGCTCGCGCACACATACAGACAAACAAATTGTTGCAGATGTACATTTGAATTGTGTAGCGACGCCAGTGTTAGACCTGCAATCGATGTGACCAGTGAACGAACCAAAAAAATTCTGGTATAAAAAATGCAGTTACAGCAATAAAGTGTGTTTGTCTGGTGACTTAGAGACTTACATAACTCTCACCGACGCCATTACTTGACGCTCAAGGCTATTTAAGAACCAGTAATAGAATGGTAATTTTTCCCCGTTCTCTTAGAGAAATACACCGTTCAAACATTATATTCTTACACAATTTTCTCTTGTACTAAAAAAAAAACGCTTATAAGCCAACATGCTAGTTGCATCTTATAAATTCGGACTATTGTCCTCATCCTCGCCTTTATTATTACAACGTTTAACTTTCTACCTTCTATATGCTCATGTCGATCTGAGTCACCTTCAAGGAATCTAGAAATAAACACTTTATTTAATCTACGAAGATGAACCGTTCTTGTTCGGTTTTTCTTATCTAGGTATGTCTGGTCTTGTTCTTTTTATAGTACTATTCCCGTTATTGCTGAAGACTTACAGCTATATTAGGCGGAAACACCGGTTACCGTATGATCACTGAAGTTAAACAACGTCGATCTTGGTCAGTACCTAAATGGGTGACCGACCGCTGGGGAATATCATGTGCTGTAACCTTGGATGTGCTTAGATAATGGCTCGGAATTTTTAACGGAGTATTCCAATTCCCGTTGAGTTCATTATATTTATTTACGTACAAATACCCTTGGGAAAAAAAATGTACCTCTTTTTCCCCAGTCATGGGTTAATTAGTAAGATATGTTCCACTAAACCATTATTAACTCAAAACATTCTTACAGTATAAAAATATTTTCTTGTTTTAAGTAACCTGCACAGGGTTGATAATCCGTAGAAAACGAAACAATTGCATCTTGTTAGATTAAATCAAAAAAGATATTTTTAAAATGTTATTCCATTTGAATTCAGAGCGTAGACATATTGCACAGATCAGGAAGAAATGTTAGATATTAACCTTTTGTGAACTCGGCATGGCGCACACACTCAGACAGGGGAATTAGCTACTTATACATGATTCTCTCATTTTTACGGGCACGATGCTAATATACAGGGGGCGGTAAAAGTAACGCCTTTTTTGTATATCAACTTTTACTGAAAAAAAATTACAGTAGTTTAAGATGGCTTAAGATTAACTATGGCTTAAGCGTTCAGGAATGGTTTAATCTTAATCTCTAGCTGAGGTGGATAGGACGACGTGGAACAATTGAGTAGCCATTACAATCACCAGACCTAACACTACCAGATGTTTTCTTCTTTATGTTCGTGTCTCCTCAGGACGTAGGCGATTATGGCTCTCCCCAATTTCCTGTCCTTTGTAGCTCAATAAATTTTGTCTTTTTGTTATCTCTCCGCATTCTTGTTTCGCCATCCATTTACTCAAGATCACTAAGAATGTTGTGTGTTGTTTTCCTCTGGCCCACTTGCCTTTAATCTGTCTTGTGAGTACCAGATTTTCCAAACCCTTTTTCTTCATTAAGTACCCAAGAAATTTCAATTGTCTCCTCTTGATGTTAAGTACAAGTTTCCTTTTTGTTTCTATCTTCTCTTAAACTTTGTCGTTGCTCACGTATTCGGCCTGTTGTATCCCCAACATCTTTCTGTAGAACTACATTTCTCTTGCTTCAGGTCTGTTCTTTGAGGAGTTTGCTCAGCACTTACTGCCATACAGGAGAACAGATATCATATAACAGTTTAGTACTATTTTCCTTGTTTCTGGCAAAGTTTTTGAAATTCTCGTAAACTATTCTATCATCATTAGGTTTCAAATAATGTCGTCTTAATGCTATGCCATTACTAGTTCAGCGAGTTCGATCTTAATTAAGTGTCCAGACATTTGTCTTTCTTCGCAAATACTTCGGCTACGTCATTCAAGTTAAGCCATTCGTTCGTTATTAGGTGATTCACTAGTGTGAGTTTAGTGTTAGGCGGTTATTAATCTTGTCGTTATTTTAACCATGTACCAGCCTGATTCCATTGCTTCACTACTGGTGTTGTTTATTGTGCTACACTTTTTACTGCTATGATAATCATTGGATATCCCACTTGTGTTGCCTTTGTGTTAGTTCCGATAGGAACTCTCTACCAATAATAGCTTCATTCATTTGGTAATTTCTTTTTAGTGTTAAATCTTGTAAATGAAAGTGAAATGACAAAATAACTAATAAATAATAACGTCCTCCATTTTCTGCAACCATGTACCAGAAATGGTCGATAAGCAAGGGTAAGGGACACTCTTATTTTCTACCAACAAATACGCTATATAATATATATATATATATTAGTATGCCATTGCTATACATCACTATATATATATACACACACACACACACACACACACATATATATATATTATATATATTTATATATATATATATAATTTATCCGAAAATTATAAGATGAATATGTTAAAAAATCATTCCAAAAATATACACTTTTTACTGATATGATAATCATTGGATAAAGTCCGAAAAACTCTTGTATTTGATAAGACACCAGAAGATAAAGACGCCAGAAGTGATGATAAGACACCAGAACTGAAAAAAGACACCAGAACTGTTTATAAGACACCAGAACTGTTTATAAGACACCAGAACTGTTTATAAGACACCAGAAGTATGATAAGAACCAGAACTTTTATAAGACACCAGATAGAACTCTCTACCAATAATAGCTGTTTATAAGACACCAGATTTGGGCAAGAATCAAATAAGTAATTTCTTTTTAGTATAGAACTGTTAGAAGACACCAGAAGTGATGATAAGACACCAGAACTGTTTATAAGACACCAGAACTTTTAAGGTCCAGAAGTGACATTATTGGACACCAGATAAATGACACCAGAACTGATGACAAAATAACTAATAAATAATAACCAGAATTCCGTTTGTTTATAAGACACCAGAACTGTTTAAAATATTCAAACTGGGACAAAACTGTTTAGAAGACAAAAGTGATGATAAATAAAGAACAAAAACACCAGAACTGCAAGACACCAGAACTGATGTCAGAACTGATCATAAGACACCAGAACTGCACCAGAACTTTATAAGTAGAAATGGTGTTTATAAGACACCAGAACTGTTTAGAAGACACCAAGACATAAGACACCAGAACTGTTTATAAGACACCAGAACTGTTTATAAGACACCAGAAGTGATGATAAGACACCAAAACATGTTTAGAAGATATATATATAAGACACAGAACTATAAGACACCAGAACTGTATAAGATATATATATATATATATATATATATATATATAAGTGTATATATATATGTTTATAAGACACCAGACTGTAAACACCAGAACTGTTTATATACACCAGAAGTGATGATAAGACACCAGAACATATATAAGACACAGAACTGATTAAGACACCGAGACACACACAGAACATAAGACACAGAACTGTTTATAAGACACCAGATATATATATATATATATGTTTATATACACCATATATATACACCAGAACTTTTATAAGACACCAGAACTGTTTAGAAGACACCAGAAGATGAAAGATGAATATGTTTATAAACACCAGAAGTCATTCCAAAATAAGACACCAGAACTATAAGACACAAGAACTGTTGATAAGACACCAGAACTGTTTATAAGACACCAGAAGTTGATAAGACACCAGAACTCTTTATAAGACTTAACTGTTTATAAGACACCAGAAGTGATGATAAGACACCAGAACTGTTTATAAGACACCAGAAGTATGATAAGACACCAGAACTGTTTATAAGACACCAGAAGTGATGATAAGAAATAAAGACACCAGAACTGTTTAGCAGAATAAAGAAGTCCGAAAAAGACACCAGAACTGTTTATAAGACACCAGAAGTTTGATTTTTATAAGACACCAGAAGTATTCACACCAGAACTGTTTATAAGACACCAGATGATAAGACACCAGAACTGTTTATAAGACACCAGAACTGTTTAGACACCAGAAGTGATGATAAGACACCAGAACTGTTTATAAGACACCAGAACTGTTTATATGATAAAGACACCAGAACTGTTTATAAGACACCAGAACTGTTTAGAAGACAAGACACAGAACTGTTTATAAGACACCAGAACTGTTTATAGAACCAGAACTGATTTATAAGACACCAGAACTGTTTATAAGACACCAGAACTGTTTATAAGACACCAGAAGTGATGATAAGACACCAGAACTGTTTATAAGACACCAGAACTGTTTATAAGACACCAGAAGTGATGATAAGACACCAGAACTGTTTATAAGACACCAGAACTGTTTAGAAGACACCAGAAGTGATGATAAGACACCAGAACTGTTTATAAGACACCAGAACTGTTTATAAGACACCAGAAGTGATGATAAGACACCAGATGATAAGACACCAGAACTGATTAAGACACCAGATAAGACACCAGAACTGTTTATAAGACACCAGAAGTGATGATAAGACACCAGAACTGTTTATAAGACACCAGAACTGTTTATAAGACACCAGAAGTGATAAGACACCAGAAGTGATGATAAGACACCAGAACTAATAAGACACCAGAACTGTTTATAAGACACCAGAAGTGATGATAAGACACCAGAACTGTTTATAAGACACCAGAACTGTTTATAAGACACCAGAAGTGATGATAAGACACCAGAAGTGTTGGAAAAAAATGGTTATTTTTGTAGTCATTTTGTAACATATTCATCTTATAATTTTCGAATAAATTATATTTGCTCTACTCTGTATTTCGTAATTGGAATTTATTCCGTATACACCAATCCTATACTAAGCACTAATATTCAATGGTTATAATTTATTACATTTTATATTATTATTCTGTCCTGGATATTGTTCTACCTGGATTCTATCCTCTTGGAAATTTACATACATACATATATATATATATATATATATATATATATATATATATATATATATTAGACAACTGATATTATTAATATATATATATATATATATATATATATATATATATATATATTGACTATATATATATATATATATATATATATATATATATATATATATATATATATATATATATATATATATATATATATATATATATATTGGACCACTGATATATATATATATATATATATATATATTGACAACTGATATTATATATATATATATATATATATATATATAGACAACTGATATTAATATATATATATATACTACTGACAACTGATATTATATATATATATATATTGACAACTGATATTATTAATATATATATATATATATATATACTGACCACTGATATTATTACATATATATATATATATATATATATATATAACTAATATCATATATATATATATATATATATATATATATATATATTGACAACTGATATTAATATATATATATATTGACAACTGATATCATTAATATATATATATATATATATATATATATATATATATATATATATATATTGATATTGATATTATTATATATATATATATATATATATATTGACCACTGAATTATATATATATATATATATATATATATATATATATATATATATATATATATATATATAAGTTTTATAGACCTTGGTTACTCAAGACG